AATGGAGGGAGGTCATTACCAGAGTTCCACAGGGATTTTTGCAGGGGATGCAGTTATTCGTCATATGCCTAAGCAAACTGGGAAAATGGATGAGCAGTGAGGTGAGAAAGCTTTATAATTATATTAAATTTTGCACAGTGAAAAGGATGATGGCTTGCTGGATGTGAAGAATTAGGAAAGGTGCTTATGGAAGAAAGTCCCTAGGCAATAAATTGGCACATGAAATTTTTGTAGTTGAATGCCAAGTGTTACAAAAAGACCAAAACAATTCTAAGATCAAGAGTCATTATGTACACAAAATTGCATGCATTTCAGGAGAGTGTTAGAGGACCCTGCCACATACTTTTGGCTTATTCTTACTCTCCTGGTTGGCTTCTGCTTATAGTCACAGTTTGAGGTAAGATACTAGTCTGGGTGGATTTTTGGTCTGACCAGGTGGAGGAACTGGGCTTTTTTACAGTTGTAGCCCGAGATTTAATATGGTGCATGTGACAGAAAAACATTCTGGTTTAGGACTCTACAGATTTACTGTGTCCTTGTATGGCAGTAACTATGAACTTAAACCTGTCAACAATTGATGTTCATAGCATTAAGAATCCCAAGGAAGGTTTCAGCCCTTTAGAGTATTCTTTACAAACCAGCCACAGGCCCCTCTGCTGGTTACACTGGGACTGCCCAGGTAAGACATGTTAATCACATAAAATGTAGAAATACAGAAAGTTTCTTCACCAGAGGATGAAGACAGAAATGTTTAACAGAGGAATGTGAATTTAAAAAAAAAAAAAAAAAAGGACAAAAATCTATTTTTTCACAACTAGCAAAGCTAGAACAGAAAATGGTGTGAGTTTTTCCCCTGGAATTATAAGGCTGAAAAACTGGAGCTTTTACAGCTAATGCTGAAAATCTCAGAAAAGAAAATCCTTCTTGCATAAAATCAGATAATCGTTATCAAGGGGAGGAGCAGCCCACCAAAAGTTATATTTCAGAATGTTGCCCAATGAAGTGACTCTTTCCCCTAAAAGACTTCACAGAAGCCCAGGCAACTTGTGTATATGGGAGTCATTATCCAGTTCCACTAATGAGGAAAGGGAGGTGTAGATTCACTACTCAGTACTAACCTTTTGAAATCCCAATATTGTGTCCTGACAAGAACAGTCTTAGGCAGAAGGTCTCTACCTCCATATCCCTCCATCCATGTGGATACGATGTGTCTTAGTCAGCACTGGATTAGCAGAACAATAGTGATCTCTCACTCTGCCATCTATGCTGGAAGTACTACTTCCTAACTTCCTAATAATTCATCTGCTAAGATGATGAAAGAGAAACAATCCCAGAATTCTTCATCATCCCACACAAGGGAGAAGTCAAACTGAAGTCAAGCAAAGGTGTCAAAAAGAACAGCCAGGAATTGCTACAATGATTCAGTTCACACTCATTGTGTCAAGTGCTCTGCTAAAGCACAGTGATGAGAAAATTCCTGGCTTCTCTTTTTAAAAAGAATATGCTGATACATCTGTGGTGAACACTAGTTTGATGAATAATATACTGAACCATCCCTAGAGTTTATCATTGTTTCTGATAACAGGAGCCCACAGTCTCTGCTGCTCAGTGATTTCTCAAATGTTCCCAGTTCTCCCTAGCAATTAACATGGGAAAAGAGAATCTCAACTAAATTGCCATTCAGAAAGAAGATAAATAGGAATAGGATCCCTTGTCAGGAGGATGAGCCTGGTATATTCATAGAGCTCAGACATGGGCTGAAGACAACTGCTTCAGTTTCTGATAATCCTAGCAAGCAATGTCTAAGAAAGGTACAACAAACTTCTAAACTTCTACTGTTTAACTTCTTTCACATGTATGTAGGGTTTGTAGGCAGCAATATGTCTTTAATGCAAAGCTTGCCATGTGTACAAGTTCACAGCTCAGGGTTAATCATTGTGGAGGCCAAAAAGCCACCACCAAAAGGGAACAGTTTTGACAGTATGAAAGCCAACACTACTCTGCTGCTCTCTGTGTCACTTTTCAGTGCCACTCACTCACTCCTGCAGCTATCCTCTGAGCATGCCTTACCCCACATGCTCAGGACTGTGTCCCTCACAAAAACACAGCTGCAGCAGGTTGCTCATCTTCACAGAGAGGCCACTCTAATCATCAGAGATTCTGCCCTCAAATCAGCTCCTTCCTCAGCCTGCTTGCACTCTCCCAGAAGGCAGCTATAATTGCTAGTTTATAGGTTTGTCTGGGTGGAATCTAGCCTTTCTTCCAAGGTGTCCTACTGTGCAAAAATCTGTAGTGTCTGCCTCAAAAGCAGTCTCCATGAGGACAATGCACTTTTTATGGGAGCAGGAGGGCATGTCAAAGCAGGTACAAGATTGCAAGATGTACTTCCATGGCTTCAAAGAGGGAAAAGTGCAGAGAGACAGTCAGTGTGCTGAACCCATTCCCTTCTTCACAGACTTCAGAATATCTAACACTTACTACAGATTTCAGCAAAGATGTTCATTAGTAGCAGATGCTCCTGTCCAGAGGTACAAAGGAGAAGGTTCTGTGCACCCGTAGCACAGCCCCATTCTCATTACACACAGTGGAAATAATATTGCTGATTTTATTACAAATTGTGTCAGATCCTGTCACAAAACTAGTCAGTCAGCTAGAAGTGTTGAGGAGAAAGTCTTACTTCTGCCTTTTCAATCCAAAACAAACAGTGATCCAAAACATATTTTCCCATTTCAACCACTTTCCTGATTTAATAAGCCACTCCTCACTGTCTTGGGGTAACAGTATTGTGTACTGATTACTCATATTTAAAATGGAACCCCATCTGTTTTATTTCTGCTTATTCCCAAAGTTTCCAATGAAATAAGGAATAAGATCCTAATTCCAGTATGGTTCAAACACAGTGAAGTGAAGGCTACATCTCTGTATTTACCTTCTGCTTTAGAGTCTACAGATAGATGATTTTTTTAAAAATACTTCTTAAACATAAGAAAATATAAACACTGCTGTGAATGGGAAGATGGGCAAAGGTTCCTTTACAGGTTTGTTTTTTCTTTTCTGTTTTGAAACAGGATGAGGAAACTTCATAAAATATAATATCACAGAAAGACTCATATTACTTTAACATCAATTCCACACTGAGCTTTATAAGCAGAAGGTCAAGTAAATTCAAATATAAATAACACAGCAATTTCTGTTGATATAGAATAAGATGGATTGCTTAAATTGGATGCCATGGGATATGATTTGTGCCAAGGTACATGTCCATGCACCAACATATGCATCCAATCTCATCTTTTACTACTTGAGGTAGAGACCTTGAAATTGTAGTATTTTGTTTGATGCTCCCAGGCCTAGCTGCCCTTGAACACTGACATTTCCATTGCCTGGTTGGTACACTTGGCCTAGAGATTTGTGTTGCAGAAGCAATATCACTATTCTCTTTTGCCCTGAAGACCTAAGCATGAATTGCTACACCTCTTAATTCTCCTCATGCAATCAAAGCATGTCCTAAAACACATTGACCCTCCAATCCCATGTTCTCTACTCTTTCTGAAAGCTAATAGAACCAGACTAATTTAAACAGTCTCCTCTAATCAAACCACCTCTGTAGTTTCTCCTAGTCTCTCTCCCACTCTTTGGTGGTACCTCCATCTGCCACAGGAATCTGCTGTGGCACAATCCAGTTGGGACTCTGCTGTTGAAGAGACCTGAGAGGGCTTTGAGTACCCAGAAAATTATCAGGATCATGCCTTTTTAATCAACCCTTTCCATGCTTTATACAGTGTTGCACAAAACAGGAGGTTTTTTAAATGGAAACAAGAAAAGAGAGACTGAAAAAACCCCACATTACCTAATGTAGAACAACTTGTCTTTAATCTATCACTGGAGCCCTAAGTCACATATGTAGGATGCACATGATCTCTCTCAGTTCAGCTTAGTTTATGCATCATCTCTTCTTTGATAGTGGAATAAAGGTGTGGAAGCCCATGAGAAAAAAGCAAGCTAAAGGTATTCAGAAGTACCCATTAATTTTATTACCAATTCAGAAGATGTCCAACATTAATTGTCAACATTAGTCAAGGCACCAATTCTGTGATGTCCTTACTGTAAAGCACATACAAATTATTTTCTCTGCACTTGCTTTTCATGGCCACCATTTCACAGAGTACAGTTTGTCTTGGACAAACCACAGACACATACTGAACAACATCCTGAAAAAATCCTTGATGCTTTTTTTTCCCTTCAGTCTGTTGTACACTATGTTCCAAATATGAAGGGTAGAAGACATTGTTAAAATCCAATTGCTAAAAATCTTACCTCTGCAAATCTTAAAAACCTAATCTTAAAAAACAAATTCACTTTTTATCACTTTGTCTTTACGAAATTATTTTCTGAACAATTAAAATGTGCAGATGCTTTATTCTGTTCCCAAAAATTAGCTGTTGTTTTCTGGTTCTCTTTCACTAAGCTGATCTTTGGCTTGCACATAGAAGATGTCTTTGTAAGAAGTATAATCCAAGTGAAAATTTTATTTTTCTGAGTCCTAAATTAGATCAAAATGAATCAGTCAGATCAGACTACTTTCAAATCCTGGCATGTAACTGGCTTGCTTTCCTCCTCTCATTCCATTTTTCTCTATCACGTCTTTCAGTTTAATTTTACTTCTAATTCTTTCCATTAAAATTATTTATCTTTAGCTGTTACTCACTGTTTCATGGGATAGCAAGTTGTGATGCTACTTCATAGCAAAGGACAGCCACCATGCAGAAGCCAATGGCAAAACTCCCACTCACAGAAAAAAAAAAAAATCTCCCCGATACATTTTAACTGAAACTCCTCTGGACTGTCAATTGAACACCTGCCATTATGCATTTGTTAACTTTTTACTTTTCTGGGTTGAAACACTTGAGTTAGAGAAATTGAGTTTTCTCTCCTCTCCTCTTTCTCTTGAAAGCAACAAACATATTTCTTTCCTTTTAAAATGTAATTATGTTTCTTACCATCCATGCTGTGACAAAATCTCCCATCCAAGTCCCAACTGCAGCTACCTTCATAAAATTTTCATTCCTGATGCCCATGAAGTCTGTTATAATGTATGCACTGTGAAAACAAGAACACAAACATAAGACATACATATTTGCTCAACGTGGTTACAAAGAACTTGGATTAATGACAAAATTTATGATTATCTGTGAAAGATTTCCCATTGCTTCCATAATAACTTTTCTACTAGAATCCGAGCCTTGACATAGAACTGAACCCATACGGGTCGATTTCAATTAGAAATGCAATGTGAATCTGATTTTGAAGTCCATGTCTCTTTTGAAGGTGCTAAAATAACAGTTGGCAAAGACTTTAGGATTATGTAAAGCTTCTGGAAGCAGAAAATGATTTATGCTTTTTTATCTTTTTCCTTTATACAAATAGAATTACAATTTTTCAAATCCATGACTTTGCAAAACCTTCATGGAGAAAAATAAGAATCTTTAAGATATCTTTAAAAAGATAATTGAGCTGCTTGACTTTTCACTGTATCAGTGATGCAACCACATTTTTAACACATCAGTGTAAGCAAGTTTTGCAAAATTTCAGTGAGATGTCACTGTTTCTAGATTTATACAATTTATTTTCACAGATATATTTTACTTAAATACAAAAGAAGTATTTCCATTCTGCTTAAATAATGCAACAGATAGGACTTAGAACCTCACTTGGTAATCGACTTCAAGTTCACCAAGATGCTATAAGGACAATTAAGAAGGTAAAGCTACTTGTTCCAGATTAAAACCTTTCTGAAAAAACATACATTTTAACATACTGATATCCTTTTCTAAAAGACTTTTGTAGTGGTCAAGAAGAGGCAATTCTCCTCAAGAGCTAATATGATGATAATGAATATGAATGGCAATTGTATTTGAACTTTAAAAGTGATGCCTTTGCTTTCAAGACACTTGTAAACATTTTTATGTATTGTTATGCCTATTTAGGAGTGTGCATAAGGGACACAGTTACATGTAAAAGTGTCCTTGAACACTGTGCTATCCATTATTCAAATCTTACCATTGTTACATACCAAATATTGCAAGGTCTAGGAGCTATACAGATCCTACCTCTGCAATTGGATCAGTGCAAACCGATTCCACTCTCTGGGCCAGTTCTGTTAAAATCTAAATATCTGATCAAGATAGAAGGTCTTGCTAGCACTAATCCATGCGTAGCATAGTATAATTTCTTAGAGAGAATTTAATATGCTGTAGAGCAGAAATATTATTGTCAGCGAATAGTTTCATGACACATGAAAAATGTCCTAGTGTAACAGCCCTTTTCATTATACATATTATGACCTTTCGGCTGGTATGTCACTAAAAAAATGCCATCTGTTTATTTTTTCTGTTGAACAGCATATAAATGCTGGCTCTAATTTTCTTTTGGAAAAAAAAATCCAATCTATTTTAACAGCATTCCATGTAGTTCATAGATCATCAGTATCCTAAATTCACCGTGTTATAAATAAGGATGTAAGAACAGGAACGTCGGGTCAGCCTACAGTCTCCCTGCTTCAATGTTCTGTCTCCAAAAGAGGGCAACAGCAGAAACAAAGGAAGACTGAAAACAGGCAAGCACAATCCTCCCAGATATATTCTTCTAGAATTTTTAGAATTGGAAAATATTTGGAATTCCTTTTTTCCTGTAGCTTGGACATGCCATTCTTGTAGCATCTGTGGAGGCAGAAAACTATCAAGTCTGCATTCCTTAAAAAGACGTCTTGTTCACAAAGAAGGCACGGCAGTAAGTGTCACTTGTAAGGAATGGCCCTCAAATGCAAAGCACATCTTAGTCTTCTCCATTCGTGGGAGACACATACAAAACCCCAGGGTTCTCACCTTTTCTTATGTGCACTGCACATTCTCATTTGCATTACACAGGTGTACAATAAGCAAACACTTGCTCAACACCCCCAGAAAATGGGCCACTTGGCCATTCCTATATAGCCCTGGCACACGGAGCAGGCCTGCCACAGCCACCCTGTCCAGCACCCTCCTGGGCACAAGGAGGGTTAACCAAACAGGCTGAGAGGTCACTGATCCCTGAATGCAGGTATTACCTAGCAGAAGAGAAATCAACCCAGACATAAGAGATTCTTTTTAATGGAAACTGAAATTCTCAGTGTAATCACTTGTTTTTATGAATGTTAGAAGTACCAGAGAGGTATTATAAGAAGGCTTATAATAGGGTTGAATGAACTGGATACAATACTTAAATACACAGAAAGGCTTTGAAACCATCACATCCTCCCAACAGCTCTTACTGTCATTTAGAACATGAAAACACCAAAGAAGCCTAGTACAAATTGTGCATTTCAGTCTACAAGTAATTAATGCCTGAATTAAATATGCAAATTGACAAACCTTCAGTTAGTGTCAAAATAGCGTATTATTATAAAGAAATTGTTACGAATATAAACTGTGCATGGTTTAAGTGCATTTACTGATTAAAATACAGCTACAACTTTTTATGAACAGGAAGAATATTTTTAGCATTTTCATCTTATTAGAAATAGTAATGAAATGCATCACTATTTCATTAACTGTTAGCATTGCACCCTCTGTCTTTTATGCTCTCTGCAGTATTATTTTTCTTTCAAAACACAAAGAGAAATTGACTATTTTAAAATAGGGATCTGGGACTGCTTAAAATGAATTAAAAAAAAAAAAAAAAAGAAACCTAACCCTCTGGTTTTCATTTTCAGGTTTTAGTTTAAATAGGAATAAGAGCACTTGACATTTTCAAAAAAGACATGCTTTCCTGATGATACTAGCAGGGTACATATCATAACAGTACCAAAAGTAAAATTAATTCTGTTATGGAAAATTCTCACATTCTTCTAGCTTTAGCTAGTGATTAGAGTAGTTTTCTTTAATTATTTAGTCTTATTCCTGGCTAGGACCCATGTCTGCACCTTGCAGGAGGACTAAGGTCTGCTGGGTTCCAGTTAACTGTCAAGGCCAGCCCAGATTTTCTATACTTGTCAAAAGGCTTCTGTTTGCTTCCCCATATGTGTACTGAAGCAAGGCACCAGCAGATTGCATGAGCAGCACAACCCAAGGAAACACCGAGGGAAAAAACACCGCGGTTAAAGCCCAGAGTAAAAAAGCTCTTCTGAGACAGACAGGATAAGTGAAAATAATTACAGTCTGAGGAGCCAATACTTGTGAATATTATAGATAAAGGACAATTTTGTGACTGGGATTTGGGAGCCTTTCACAGTAACACTGGAAGCTGCAGCTCCAGGGAAACTGCTCTTGGCAGGCCAAAGTCTAAAGAAGGTAGAGCAACATTTTAACAGAATAGAGCAAAAGAGAGGGATCAAAAACCAAAGGAGACTGATATACACAACTCTAAAGAGTTTTAAAAAAAATCATAAGTAACTGCCTACATCCATGTTGATGCAAAAGGTATGTTAATGAGTCAGTAAAAAGACATATAGCCCAGAGTACTTGAATAGTTTCTGGAGTTAGCAGCAGTGTGCACAGAATGGATAAAGGGGAAGACAACCACACTAGCCTGGAGTTTTTATTCAAAGGAAGATCTCAGAGCATTTTCTCAAAGAAGGATGACACTGCTAAAATGACAAAGTGTGAAAGCAAATGGAAGGTTTTAAATTTTTCATTGGATAAAGATGCTCAAGTCACTGTGGTGCTAACACTGTTCCAAGTGTTATAATGTCTGAAAAAATGTCATGACTGAGACTCAGTGCTGAGATGGTGTTTTCTTGACCACCACAGGATCTAAGAAAGGGTTTTAGCTTGAATAGAGACACTTAAATGTAAGGGTAAACCAGGAAGTCAAACTCTCTACAGAGCTTGGTCAGACTGGGTCAAGGATTTAGTTGCTTTATATTACTTCTTGACAGCTAGCATGTCAAAAAAAACCATGTTCACATACTAAAAGGCATTGTTAAACCTATGTGACTAAGTGATTCCCAGTGAAGTGACATAACTTGATCTCCAGATGATAATCCAAAGAGTTCTGCATCCCTCGTGAGGTCTGTGACATAGCTGACAACCCAGACACATCTGAACTGAACCCTGGGTGTCCAGGGACAGCAGTGAGAGCATAGACACTTTAGGGAGGTCTTAGTTGCCTTTTAAAGCAATTTTAGGAAGCTTGATGCATCTTAACTAAGCTTCAGCTGGTTCTTTACTAGAGTACTGAAGGCACTGGGCCTGCACACAGAACACAGTGCATGCTCTGTACAGAGCCAACAAGAACTGCATCCACAGAGAGTGATAATTTAATGCTCTTTGAAAAGGAGGGGAGGCCTAAATATCTTTTATGTTGAGTCAGAAAAAGTCTATACATGTTCTGCAGTCTGATATGCACTTTTCTGGGGTGGTTTTATTATGTGGCCTTCCCCTTAAACGGTTGATTATATCTATATGGAACTCATCTTCCTTGGTGCATCTGACAATGTGAAATGCTTTGACATTGGCAAACAAGTGAAAGCACAGGAGTTTACACAGGCTGCAAAGAGGGATGTGTTTAGATGTGGCACCACAAGCTTCCATTACTGTCAATTTAGAAGAGGCAGAGAATGTCAGAATAACTGAAAACACACATAAAAGACTGCAGATACAGTTCCTGATCAGTATTTGTCACTCTAAAATGACAGAATGGCAAATGAGACACTTGGTAGCAATTCACTCAGTTGAAAAGCTATTCTTCTAATGTTAGGAACTGAAGTCAGAGCCACAGGGAACTGGAAGATGCCCAGAGACAGCAAGACCTGCTGTCTTATAAACTGGCACATGATAACAAGGATGGCATAATGCACAGCTACCAGCAAACAGCACAGAGAGCACAACAGCAATTCATCCAGTCCCTGACCATCCCCAGTGCATGCTTTAGACATACAGACAAAACTTCTCCTATGACACCAGAACAGAGAGAATTAAGAGGCACTGAACCAGGGATTTTGCTTGACAAGACATCAAAGAGGTAACAGCCACAAGAGGATCAGCAGGCTAATCTCCAAGACACAAAAATCTGAGAAGCAAAACCAGCTTGGCTATAGTGCAGCGGATCATGGCACGGTGCAG